AAAGGAAGAAGGGAGGGAGGGAGAGAGAGAGAGAGGGAGAGAGGGATGTGGGAATCGATATGCTTGACGCTCATGGCGACGGCGGGGAACAACATCGGCAAGGTCCTCCAGAAGAAGGGCACCGTCATCCTCCCTCCCCTCTCCTTCAAGCTCAAGGTTTCGATTCTTCATTCCCCTTATATTCGCCTCGTCTGCAAACCCTATAATCGAATCCAGTTTTCGGTGCAATGTTATTCCCATCATGTCATGCTTCTTGAATTGAGTATAGATTGGTTTGACGTTTGTATCTTTGGGGAATCCCTTCGGGATCGGAAGTGCAAGTCCTCCGATTTGTTTGACCTTCTTTACGTTTCTTTCTTTCCCCAACCCGCGGGTGGCAGGAGATGCCGTTAGAGTTTCTTGGATTGTGTGTTTTATCTCTGGCTATGTTGATCTTTTGTGCGATAGCTCGCCGGAAATGATTGTTCGTTTGGTCGCTCAATATCCCCGATTGATCTGCAAACCTTGCAACCGAATCCTGTTTTCGGTGACATTTTTTTCCCATCATGTCGCAAGCGATCAAGAAACATCTTGGATTCTTGAATTGATTAGAGGTTGGTTTGACGTTTGTGCCTTTGGGGAACCCTTTCGGGGATCGGAAATGCAAGTCCTCCCATCCGTTTGAGCTTCTTTCCGTTTCATTCTCTTCCCAAACCGCAGGTCTTAGGAGACGCGGTTAGGGTTTGTTGGATCGGAAATGATGCTTATGTTTCGTTTCTCAATAATGATCTTCGTCGGTCATTCAAGATGGGTGGCCGCTCCCCGATGCTTCTTGATGACGGTTTCGGGGTTTAGAATCGTTGATAGATCTGTTTCTTTGATGGATCTTGATGCGTATCTTTTGATTTGCACAATATTGTTCGTAAGACATGAGGTCTCACAATCAACCTTGAGATGAATGGTGCCACTCAAATGTTTTTGTTCAAATTTCAGCTATTCCCTCCAATAATCTCTTTTCAAGTCTGCTTTGGGATGTCTTAAGAGGCCCTCATCTAATTCTTGTAGAGATAAGCATGATAGGTTTCTTGTCTGGATTCGGTTGATATGTTATGAACATGTAAGTTTCTTGACAAGATTTTCTTCTTATACCCTATCCATGAAGCATTTCTTCTGTGCCACTTTTTTTCCTTTTCTAAAGCAAGTGGCATATTTCACATAATAAATTTCATCTTTGCATATTCACATTGTTATACGAGTTTGCTCTATCATTTTATACTCTTCTGTCTTGCACTCCAGGATACATTAATTTGCTCATGTTTGGTTTCCTGTCATTTGAATTTTAACATTTAGATTTGCATTTTTTTGGTATGTTATTGATCAGATAGAGTTTTTGTTTATAAAATGCAAAGTATAAACAAGTATGACCTGAATTGCTTTCTCTTTTTGCTTTTAGGTGATCAGCGCATATATTTCAAACAAATTGTGGGTTGTAGGATTTCTTATGGATATATCTGGGGCTATTTTGATGCTGAGGGCATTATCTCAAGCTCCGGTGAGTTGATTTATGCATCAAGTTTCCATCTTTCAATCAATATCTCTATAAAATGGATTAAACTTTATTTCTGTATTATCTGATTCTTATATGTCATGTCTGTTTGTTTCCCCTTTTTCTTGATCTTATTTTTGATTGACATGTACCTTTAAGCTAGCACTTATGCATTTAAAAAAAAGTGAATGAGCACCTAAATATAGCAATTCCAGATAGCATCTTAGCCTAGTGCCCTAATGTAGAGGCCACAATCTGCCCCATCCATTGTGCATATTGTTTGTGATCTATGGTATGACACTCATTTATTTAATGTTTAATGTGCTTTATGTGCACCACAATGTGATCAAACAAGTGTTCCTCGATTTTTTTTTCTTATTTTTGACAGTATTTGGAAATGACATCTTTTGTTTGTTTTGTTAATGAAATTTCTTGGTTCTTCACTCTCATGTTAACTAATTTGTGACTTAGTTCAATTTCTCTGCTTGCATGAAATAATTTGATAGTTTTATTCTGATGACCATTAATTGGGCCAGTAGATATATTTGTAGTATAGATTTCAAGAGGTTGGATCCTTTTTTTTTCGGAGGTTGTAAAAGTATATGTAAGAGAAAAGGTTGGGTTGGCGCATGATCTTCCTAACAGTGAGGTCTGTGGAGGGTTGATGTATGTAGCCTTGGCCTTAAAGCTTCAACATGAAAGGTGTTTCCATGATCAGAGGGCTGCTCACCCAGGTTACAAGGAAGGAATCTTAACACCCGTAGTTTAGAAGGCTGTTGTGGATGTCCGCTTTATTAGACATACATTTGATTGTCAAAATGAAAATGAATCTCACTGCAAATGTTACTGCACAAAGCCATGTTTTTATCTTCCTGCACATATTAGTAGAATATTGTTGACATTCATTTTGCAGGTTTCTGTAATACAACCAGTTTCTGGCTGTGGGCTTGCTATACTTTGTGTTTTCTCTCATTTTTATCTCAAAGAAGTGATGAATGCTCTTGACTGGGTGGGGATTGCATTGGCTGGTGCTGGCACAATAGGTAATGGAAGTTGATAAGAATCCTCATATTGGTTTGTTATTATTCTATAACAATAATGACAACAAGTTGTTAGTTAGTTATTTATTCTATCTTCTCATAAACGCTTAATATGAGTTTCTTAAGATGCCATTTCTTTCCTTCTAAAATTTGTAGAATAGTTAAAGGGAGCCAATTTAGAAACTTGTAATACATTAAGATTAAACCTTCCAGATAAATTTCCTCCCTGAAAAGTCAGTGCTAATCATAGCCTAAGTCTTTCAGAATTCAGTATGTATCATTCATAACATCACTTGATTTATTGTGCGCAAAAATAATTGGGTCTTATTTTACTATACAATTTATTTTTCGAAGCCTTTTGCAGAAACAGCAAATAATATTTAATATTTTCTGAAATAATAATGTATACAATTTCTGGTTAGATCCATATATTTATCTATATGTAGGTTTTCCTTTGTGGTAAACCATGTAATTTTTGTATGTTGTGTTTCATGATTCACATCATTTTCCGAGTCTTATTTGAAAGCAGTATTTTACGGTCTTGAATAGCTTTTTCCAATATATAGGACCTTCAGTAGAGATCACCAAGTGCCTACTAATTATACTGTTATGGCAAAAGATGGTTCCAGTATAAGTTGTTGGATTTGTCTGTATTATTGTTGCAGGAGTTGGCTTTGGAGGGGAGGAGCAAAATGGTTCAATAGTCTCTCTTTTCCACTTACCTTTGATGGGCTTCTCGGTTGCCTTGTTGTTTGTAGGTATCATGCTCTGTACACCACCGTTCAGCATTGCTAGAAAAAGATTTGTCCTTCTTATAAATAGTGAGGATATCTTAGTTTCTTTGTGTGCGACGGGACTCCCTATAACTAGTGTTTATTGATCCAGTGGGTGGTGATTGGGACCATTGGGTGTCCCTGCCTTATGTTTATGTTCTTATGATTTCAATCGTTGCATGTTTTTGTGTACTAACACTCTTTGCAACCTTGATTTGCTGCTCGTGTTTATGATCTATGGCAAACACTAATGGTCATGGAATTCTATACAAGTGGTAGTTTGTGGACCTTCCATGCGGAAACCCTCTTTCCCCTTTCTCCTTATCTGAAGACGGATTTAATGTACATTTTGTGATCTATTTTTTGAAACTGTTTCTTCTGTCTTATGGCATTATAGTATTGTTTTGATAAATACTTCTTGACATCACATCTTTTATCTGGTGTCATGGCTGCTTAGGCCTAGCAATTGGATGTGATAAGAGTTGACAAGTAATTGTAGTTGCAATTCACACAGTCTCAGAATAGATATATGGCCATATGCTGTAGGCATCTTTATCACTGTAGCTATGTTTGTCGTTGCACTACAAGAGATTAAATGTGAAAGTCAAGGTATTCTTTTTTTGTTCTTTATTGGGGATGGGATTTGTCTCATTAGTTAGTCTTTATGCTCATGCTTCAGTATAATACTTCGAGTGAATAAAATTAGAATGAATGTAGTGCTTTTGTTGTCTTGGGTATCGAAATTTATTCAATTAACCCTTGATGGTTCGCATGGCAATTCAGGCTCTTCTGGATACATGGCTGCGCATTTACAAGAGGCGAAGGCAAGATCAAGAACTGGTAAATTCTCTTATGCCCTTCTGCTACTGAAGTAAGCACTGTTTTTAGTTCCTGCTCTTTTTCTTTACCTTCCTTCCTATTTGTTTTTGTATCAATTTGATCGTTGTGACATCTAATGTAATCATCTTAAACACAGATGCATTCTGAAGTCATAGAGGAAATAATATTTGGCTTGGAATCGGGCATTTTATTTGGGTGATGTTTCTTTAACCTTTTACATCCTGCCATTGGTTTAATTTTGATGCATTTTAATTTTTTTTCCTTTTATGTTACATGAATATAATCCACAGAAAATTTTGCTTTAGACAGGAAGAAAGTTATTACTTGTTTATACAAAATATGCAATTTCCATTGCCAGAAGCGTCAGTGCATTGGTTGTCCTCTTGCATTCTTTGTCATTTCAGTTCTTAAAGTATTGGGACCACCTGTCCGTCTTGAATTCCATACATGTTCTTGAATACTGTTTCTATATTATGTTCTTGAACATTCTGTTAAGGACATAAGTTCAGTATATTCCAGCTCGATATATGGAGAGGAATGTGTAAATATATGTGTCCCATCCAAACTCATAGTGTCATTCCAAATTATACTGTTAAATTTGAGTTATTTTTAATTATTGAGCCTCATATAACAATTGGTATAACTTAGCTTTGAGATTGCAATTAGCAAATACTAAAACCATGCTGGTAATTTACAGGATGGCATCTGTTATATCAAAGATGGGCTTTGTATTTTCAGAGCAGGGTTTCTCAAAGATCGTGGTACCTATATGCATTTCCATCAGCATCTGCTGCAGTGCTACTGGATTTGTTTATCAGGTAATTTCATTAAATTCTTTCAGCTACATCAGTTTGGTTCAATTCTTTATTAGTTTATATCAATATGGGCCAAATTAATCACTTGTTATACGGCTAGCTGTCCCATCAAGTTGAAACAATTTCACTTGAGTTATATGGACTGACGAGATTAAAGATGAATATTTGTTGGGAAAGTTTTTTTGGGCATCAACTATTTTCTCTCAACTTCATATCATGGACCGCTGATGAGGCTCTTACAATCCAGTGATGTGGGTCAAAGTTGTTTCTACTTTCTACAAAGGGTGTGACAGAATAGATCCCTGATTTTACAAGTGCTTTACTTTTCTGATACCCATTAGCTTGTAGATTTTGTACACTTCTAAAAAGAAGATAACTGGTCAATCTTTTGTATTGCAATATCCATTTGGCATATTGAAAGTCAAACTAAGCTCCACACTGACATGAAACTTATTTATATAGTTCAACTGATTGTAGTCTAATATATATGGATTCTGACAGACCCGAGGCCTGAAGCATGGAAGGGCTATTGTGGTATCCACATGTGCAGCTGTGGCATCAATTGTTACTGGTGTTCTGGCTGGTATGCTTGCTCTGGGCGAACACATGCCTACTTCCCCTGTTGCCCGTGTCACTCTCTTGCTTGGATGGTAACGTCACTAACTGTAGATGAATTTTGTTTGATGAAGTGTTGTTCTTTGATTGAGATACTTTGTTCTTTCTGTTGGTGGGGGTTTCAATATATGTTCTCTAACTGTTTGCAGGCTCTTCATTATTCTTGGGGTAATTCTCCTTGTTAGTTCAACCCGATTGATGGCACTTCTACCTAGGCCTATCCGGCGCCATCTGAGAAGCAACCTTGAGAAAAATCAGAATCTCAGACGATCGGGTTCGGTACGTGCCAAGGATCCTAGCCCAAGTGCAGTAATTCAAGCATCCACGCTGCATCATCTGGTAACTTCTCCGGCAAAAGAGAAGGCATAGCAGAGTCATGAAACTAGTTAAGAACAACACATCGATGACTGTTTCTTACTTCTCGGCCAGCGGTCGGCTTGATTTTAAATGCAGCATTGAGCTTGTAAGCTTCCCTGCAATTCCCTTCCAAGGATGTTGTCTAATGGGCTGTGTTGTTTACTTACTGATCTTCATATTGTGTTTTTCATTTGTTTTGTATGCCCCTGTAATCTAGCTGACCATTTTTGTACTGGTCTTGTATTTGCCATTTTTCATGTGTGATTTTACTAAAATATACTAAGATTTTACTATAATTGAACTGTTCTTTTTTCAATTCAGACTATCCTGCTTGGCTTCGAAGATGAGTTCTCTACTAATAATTCCTCATCTCAAAATGTTATCTTTATTTCTCTCAAAATAGTCTGTCTCAAGCAGGGAGATGGAGACCAAACTTGGTCTTTCCAGCCGCAAACAAAAAAAAAAGAACTCAATTTTCCAATGCTAAAAGAATTCTCTGTAATCCATTTGCATTGAAATTTACAGGAACAAATAATGTTGTACGTCAGATTCCTGCACGGACAATTCCTTTGATGGTAATGCAAAAGAATTCAATAACTAACTCTGCTTCACCTTCGCCAACAATAACTAACAAAAGAATTCAATAACTAATTCTGCTTCCTAAGGGGTTCTTATTCTTGGACCAGTTTTATGTGGGCCACCAAGCAATCACCTCACCTCTAGGGTTTGGGAAGAGTCAGCGAGACTATGGGCGGGGTGGGAATGCCCATGTACTGAAGCCTGGGGGACAGCCTGAGCCTGGGGCTCGGTCGCGGCGACGGGATCGGGACCGGGACCTTGTTCGCAGCGGGCGAAGCGACCACCCTGGGCGACAGGTTCACTTGCTCGAGCGCCTTGGATTGGAGATCCGCCGGGTAGTCCCGGACGCAGCCGATGCGAGGCCCCGCGCCGGTGGTCCATCTGCACGACAGCCGCCTCCCGAGCTCGAACGCCATTGCTGCCTTCTCCCTGCTTGCGTCGCTTTGCTCCTTTGGTTCCTTAGGTTCTTCGTTCTCGATTTCGCCTTCGCTCTTAGCCTTCTCCTCCACCGCAGCAACAACCGCTTCGACTGCGACCTCAACATCGTCATCCTTCTTGTGTGCAGGGAACTCATCGTCATCGACGGAGCACTTCTGAGAAGCAAAAGGCACGAGTGGGTTGGTTAAATGCCCCAGGTATGAATGATTAGGTATCACGCAAACGATTTGATCTGCTCTGAAATGGTGCACGGTTCGTATGGTAGGAGCCCTCTTCGGTGTTCATAAGATGCAACATCAGGGAAGAAGATGGATTTACCTTGACATTGGTGAGGTCTACATGGTTGTCCCCAAGGAAACTAATGAACTCCCTAAAATTATCTTCTGTCGGGAGGTAGTGTCCGCTGTACGGCCATATAGCCTGAGGCAATCATCAAATTGTACCAAGAGTTTTACATCAGCCTCAACTTTGGCTCCATCTCAACATAGGTGGTCTGCAAGTAGGCAAATCATACCTCGATTCTGCCTTCTTTGGCGACCAGCCTTCCTGCAGCTGTCGTAGCTCCCCCAGCTAAAAAGCTCGAGTGTTGGAATGTGCCTTTGTTCTTCTGTTCATCCACAAAAGTTTGCTTTAGGAGGCTGAGCTCATAAGTATGAACAGTTAGTTCCAAGCATGGATATGATGTGCACCTTCCCCACATACAGTGCTCTTGATGTGCTGAGCACAAAGATCCACTTGCAACTTTCAGTGGTATTCACCGGCATTCCACTTTGTTTGTAGACGAGCTTCCCATTCTCCACGATGACTTCGTATGCTTCCCTCTCTTTCTGCAGGGTGGTGAACACAGTACAATGTATGGTCAGATACACCTTCGCATCACTCCACCAGATAAGGTCGGGCTGGAGTGATCGAACAAGGAGAGCTTACCGGACCAAGATAGCTGATGCACTGCTTTTGAAGCTTGCTTCTTGGGCACCTCTCCAGATTTACTTCTCTTCCGTCTCCGACGTCCAACCTTCACATTCGACCAAAGGAAGGAACAGGTGAGCATTTCTCACTGAAAGACTTGTGTCAATTTCTGTGCTTACCAGTAGAAAAATGGTTGTGTGCTTTCACTTCCAGACCAGACATCATAATACAAATGCAAGTTGTGCCCATAGCGATGCCGGGGATCAATCTGCACGGTGCCTGGTTGTGGATTAGATTACCATAAAGCCATCTCTCTGTGCTACCAAGGTAGAGGATACTCACGGCTTCTAACCAATGTTGCAGTGCTAGCTTCTGAGCCTTTTCATCTTTGGAGAGGCCCTTACCGACCTGAGAAAAATGGATGCACACACATATCATATTGATTGGATATACATTGGAACAATTATAGAGCTTATGCGTCATGACATATCAATCCGATCGATTACCCTGGCTGCTCTTCTTTTCGCTCTTGCCCATTTAGAGACCGCAGGTTCTGGCTTCTCGACGTCGAAGAACAAGATGGAACTACGCTTCAGAGATGCGAAATCCAGTGCCTTCCACCTGCAAAAGGGGATTGTTTTTCTTTTTGAGGTAAAACGAGAACAGAGATCTTCTTCTAGTTGTTGACTTGTGCCAGGTGAAGTTGGAGACGCACCAGAGTTCCTCCACCACCACCGCACAATCTGCTAGGTTTCTTCTGGTTCGGTAGCTCTTGTAGACCTTCTGCAGCTTGGTTGCTGCAGCGTCAAGCTCGCTCGAAGGCCGAGGGGAAGAGAGCTCGACGAGCTGTTGCGGGAGCTTCACATGGGGCACCGCAAAGTTCATCGGCACCTTGAGACAAGATGGCTGCAACGTAACATCATCATCATCTGCGGCTTGTTCTCCGATGGGAACGGATGCGTCGAGCTTTGGTGTCTCAGGTTCCCAGTTCCTGAAGCTTAATGATCTCTCCGTCACGGCGTCATCGCACGCACCAGAGACCATCCTGTTCGACGAATTGCTCCTTCCGAAACTGAGTGATCTCAAGATCCTATTGGCCTTCTTTTCACCGAGGCTAATGGATCCGGCTGCAGCAAACCAATTCCACAAGGGCACGGAGAAGGATAAGCCCATGGAAGTGCTGCCCCTGTTAGATTACAAAGGTCCAACCACAACAACCATGTCACGGAGCAGTAAAGCCAGCATCATCGCATCTCCGACAAATAGATCAGTAGATGGAAGAGGCAGAATAAAGAGGGAGCGGAACAAGCTTAGTTCAACGTACCTAGCAGATCACAGAAGGAACCCGACTGCTCGGATGAGAAGAAAGCTGAGAAGGTATTGGTGTTGCACGCCTCTTACTCGCCATTTATATATGCATAAAAGAAAGTCACCATTGTTTATTGTAATCCGAGACGCAGGTAAGGAGGACGACGCCACTGAGCAGTGCTCCCTTCCTGGAATGAGCTCTGTGAAAACTCAACTTTCCATCTCCTTCAAAGGAGAGAGAGAGAGAGAGAGAGAGAGAGAGCACAGCTTTTTTGAAGCCTGTGTTGGATTAAATTATGGCTGCTGCATGACTAACCATCCCCAGTACCCAACTTGCTTAGATTTTATATGACCATTTGAGAGATGCGCTGTTGGATTTGTTTTGCTTTCAAGTACGGTATCATCCACTTGAGACTCACTTTCTCCTTTATATATGTGTGTATATATGGTTTGCTCTTAAAATCTCTTAAGAAGCATTACAAGGATATATAAGATTATATGAAGCTGACTATTTAAATTGTGTCTGCTGGCAGGGATTGACCATTGACTTTTTAGTGTCCACAGGAGGTAGGCGTTTCTTCCTTGCCAAAGAAAAGGATGATTTCAGCTCCAAGCATACGTAATCAGATAAGTCCTTTTGACTATATATATATATAGTATACAGCATGAGTATATGTATAATAAGAACTCATGCATTCACATGCCTTTGCTAGCATTAAAGGAGCTCATCAACTGGATTCAATGAACTAATTTCAACTGGGCAGCTGCCCCCCTTGACTTTGAAGAGGTCTTAAGTTACTCCCACAGTACAGAAATGGTACCATATCTTCTTGAATAATACTGCAGTGATCTTTTATAATTTCCAACCAAAAAATTAATTGTTTATTCATTATTAAAAATATTTAAATTATTTATTGTACAATGAAAGAGAAGAATTCTTTTCTTTTTTTTGTGGTTACTGTCTCATTCATTCCCTTCTACATGTCTCCTCTTTGCTTCTTCCATCTTTTATAACATTATAAAAACCACATTTATGATATTGGTTTAATTTACTGGAAATCAATTTAACCTATGGTTTGACTAGTTAATTATATACAGGAGAGCAAACAAGAAGCCAAACCCGTCTTCTCAATAGGAGAACAAAAAGCTCATGTGTCTGTGGGACATGGAACGGAGGTTCCTTGAAGCTTCACGGCTGCGAGCTCTCGTCAAAGAACAGCAGATCTCTCTCGGGAAAACAACAGAGTAAGACAAGCAGGGAGTTGAAGACCGAGAAAAAGATTCAACACTGGATTACATATTATATTATGTGGATTGCTCGGTTCTGCACATGCAAGCATCCAAGAATCGAAAGAGCATTGCCACTCTTACTGTCTTTTTGACCCATATGCGGAGCTTGAATGCAGAGTCTGCGACCGGTGAGCTCGCTCGCGAGCTTTCAGCGGCGGAAAGGAGAAGTTGACACGTAGCGTGGTCAAATACCATGTCTTCTTCGGACTGCAATCCTGTGAGTACGTGTTGCCGTCCTCTCATTTTTAGGTTTGTTTGGGGTCATTCCGCTGCTTCCCAGAAAAACCAATGGCATTGTGCGTGTGGGGTGAAGGAGACGGGGGCAGTTGGTAGCTTTCCCCGCTGTTTCTTCTCCTTCGGTTCCGAGAAGGTCGACTGTGCAGCAGGAGGAGTTTTCATATCCGGGGAAGGAGGAGGGCGGAAAGGATCCCCTGTCCTCCACGTTCCTTCTTCAAGATCCGTGCACCAGTTGCACGACTCTTAAAGCAGAGATGTCGATGGTCTCCTCCCAGGTAAGCGTGACGGAAGTCCTTCCGCGTCCCCTTTTAAGTTACGTGCATGGGCACACCGCATTCTGTCCTTCATGCTGCGTCGGTTGCACGAATTTTAAAGCAGAGATGTCGAAGGTCCTCCCCTTGAGGGATGTAGACGTGAAGGATCATGATGAACGAGCCCTTGACGATCGTTCTTTAGGAGTCGTGCAGACGCAACATCACACTTAGGTGTGCAGCGTTACTCGCACGATTTCTAAAGCAGAGATGTCGGAAGGCCTCCCCCCGGCAACGGATGGATGGAAAAGGTTACGGAAGTCCTTCACGCTCCTCCTTTGAGATCCGTGCAGTAGCACACGCGTCCAGTCATTATAAATCCGTGCAGGGGGGACCCGAGATAAATGTCGGTCTTCCGACGTGGGATGCGAATGTGAAAGATCTAAGTTTCCTGCTTTACGATCCGTGCAGACGCACACCGCACTTCGCTATGCCGTGCAGCTCGCACGATGTCCGAAGTGGACATTCCGACGACGTTCTTGCTCCAAGATCCGTGCAGGGTGATGGCACCTTGTCAAACCTATGCACGATTTCTAAAGCAGAGATGTCGAAGGTCTTCCACCCGCGTTAACGTAGAAGGATCCCAGTAAGCAAGTCCTTCACGTTTTCGCTTTATGATCCGTGTAGAGGCGCACCGCACTGATGCGGTCAGTTGCACGATTTCCAAATCAGAGATGCTGAAGAGCAAGTCCTATACGTTTTCGCTTTATGATCCGTGCAGAGCCACACCGCACTGATACTGCCAGTCGCACGGTTTACAAAGCAGAGATGCTGAAGAGCAAGTCCTTCACGTTTTCGCTTTATGATCCATGCAAAGGCAC